CCATTTAGTATTTTTTCTCATTTATGCCAACAATTCTCTCTTTTGTTATCATTGTATCTAGTTTTTCTGATCTCACATCATATTTGTCCATCATCAGAAATAATATAAGCTTTTCAAAAATGATCTATTCATATAGCATAATATATCCCACTGATCCTTACAAAGTTCAACTAAAAAAACTATTATAACACCGTCTATTATGACCATATCTAGTTTATTGTCTTATTTAGCGATGTATGTCCATATTTGTTAAGCCATTTAAGTTCTTCTCGAACTTTAATTTTTCCATGCCATGGATTGATAGTCAGATCGTGATCTTCATTTGGAAAAAATAACAATTTCGCAGGAACACCAAGATAGTGTAAACCACGCTCTAACATTAAACTTTCAGACGGAGGAACACGCAGATCATTTGCACCACTAACAATGTGTGTTGGCGTTTGGACGTGACCTAATTTAAACATAATTGATTCGTTATAATAAGTTTCTGGTATTTCCCACGGATATCCACCAATATAAGTTGCAACATACACAGGCATATCTATTGAACCCCAAAGGGAAACATGTTCAGCTGGCCCAGCACCCGATACAGCAGCATTAAAACGTGTTGTTTGAGTAATCAACCAGTTTGTTAAAAATCCACCATAACTATAACCTCCAACAGTAAGTCTATTTGGATTAGCGATGCCATCGCTGATTAAACTATCAACACCAGCAAGAATATCTCGTCCTGGTCGAGATAAAGGATGACCAATAATTTCACTTAGAAATTCGTCACCATATCCTCCCGTACCTCGATAATTAGGTTCAAGAACTAACCAACCTTCTGTGGCTGCTAATGGAGCCCACGAATAATAATCCCCTATTAACATATTGAGACTTGCAGCATTTGGACCTCCATGAATAAGTACAAATAATGGTAGATTTTTACATCCAAACTTTCCTGGTGGATAATGTAGAATTCCTTCGATTATACGATCATCTTCACTATTAATCCATCGATATATTTTTGCTCGAGGTAAATTTCGTTCACGAAGAAGCTGATTTCCACAAGTAATAGCTTTCGCGACATATAATTGATTGATATGTTCAATAAAATAAATCTCGAATGGTCTTTCGAATGATGAATGACCGAATGCAATCGATAATGAATGTGGGGATGAGCCCGATGAAATTAATTGATACGTTCCTTCCCATCCATGTTGTAACATTACATATTTTGTTGATGATTGTTGTACATATAATTGAACATTGATTCCTAATTGTCCAAGTATATAAACACCACCCTGTGATCGAATTGTATAACTCCTAATATTTCCATTGAAGCCTTTTCCCCAATGTTCAATCTTTCCATTTGTTAAATCGATTGAGTCTAATGTATTTTGTTTATCGTTATATTTTCCGCCAGTCGGCTCTAAGGAAATTGTTACAAAGAATAGGTGTTTACCGTCAGGTGATAATTGCAGATTTTGTTCTACAACTTTGTTATCTGTCAATTTCGATAGTAAAGATACATTTCTGAGATCAAGTGCATATATTTCGAAATCATGCGGATTTTCGACAAGTGCTGATACGGATGTAAAGACAAGTTTATTTTCCGCTGGAGCCAATAAAAGTTCACCAACTAGAAAATCGATATTGATAATAGTCGTGATTTTCACAGATATTTTCTGATCTTTATTCTTAATATCAATACGATAGAAAGTACTGCTATCTGTGTGTTTTCGTTGTCGATATTGAATAACATCCTTCCATTCGTTTTCGTTCATCTTGTTACCTTCTTGGGATGATGCTATTGAAATGAAATAAAGTGAATTATCATCATTTCCCCATGTGATTGCCAGTGGATTTTGGGTTCCAACATCAATCAATAACGTTTCTTCGGAAATAATATTATATAAATGAAGATATTTTTCATTTTTCGATGATTGAGAACGTTCATTAACGGCATTGACTAAGTAGTAAAACCAAGTACCAGTTGGTGACCATTTAGGTTTGATATTAGAATGAAGTTGATTAGTAATCAATTTTTTTTGTCTAGTTTTAGTTTGATGAAGCCACAATGCATCTTCATATCGATTAGATTCCCACACAGGACGTAAACTGTGAACTAGTAAATAATCAGCATTAGGTGAAAGACTCAATGATTTATATTGGGTTGAATTGAGAAACTCATCAATAGTTAACTTTTGAAGTGTTTCTGTTGAAAAACATTGAAAATATGCTAAGACGAGTACTAGTAAGTAACACTTCATGTCATCGACTTAACACACTGTTATCATAGAATCTTATATGAAGAGCTTAATACGATGTGGTTCTATGATATAGCCTTGTTTTTTATTTGATTTATTTAACCGTCAGAATTTATTATAAAACCAATTGTAGGTAAACACAGGTGTATACAGCCAATAGTTCATAGTTGAATAAAGAGCACAAGAGATTAATATATGATTCTGTTCTCTTATTCTAGGTTCGACATACGATCAAAGGGCGTATTCTGTTTTTGTCGATGGAGTAACGATTAATATTTTGTTATTCAAAAAACAACAAAAATCTCAAAATCAGGGATATGAGCTTCATTTAATATACAAGGTGAAGCGTATCAAGAATTGGAGCTGTAAATGCACCATATTGCTTTACACATGAGATACTAAAAATGCAAAAAATACCGCTATATCACTGATAACAAAATAAAATCAGTATTATTAATAATAAGATGGAAATATTTACATAAGATTTTCGAAAGAATAACTTGACGTTCATTAGACATTGACTGTTTATTTGATAATCGTTTATAAATATCTTGAAGTTTACTGTTACTCTACTATTTACTCCACTTGAAAATGTACTACCTAGTAAAATACTCCAAATCGTATAACGAACATTTGGCAATTGCAATCCACTTACTTGACTCAATCTTAAACTTAGTCCATAGAAAATGAGAGACATATAAAGAATCTTAATAAATTATTTCCTTATCTTGCAAAGAGAAAATTACTTTAATTTTCACTTTCAGTAACTGAAACATAATTACATGTTATCAACATTCGAATTATTGATAAAAAACGTTGTTCAAGATACTATTAATCATAAATAAAAAATTGTTTTCATTAAAAATATTTTATTACTCAATAGAAGAACTAAAACTCCATAATCAACCCAACCGATATACATCTAAAATTATTCATAATTTTTATTTATATTAAAATATACCATCGTTGTTCTTCACTTGTGAGATAACATTTCGATTTTACACTTTGCCAACTCCAGATTACAATATTGTGTCAAGATATAATCTAAAAAATAAATTTACTGAATATTTTATTTCTTTTTATTTTTCAAAAAACAAATTCAGTTTCATATCCTTGATTCTACAATCATTTTAGATATAAATCGTCATAAAAAATGAGAAATAAAAAAAATTAATTTTCAATTTAGATATTGTGTTTTAAAAAATAAGCTAATGAAGGAACTGAATATTCATGTGGTCCTTCTCCTCCACGATAGAAAATCTTTTCATCATATAAAATATAAAGTCTTTCTGGCCATCCATAAAATAAATGATTTGTATGATCATCCATTGTATCACAATAAACATCAATTTTATTTTCTTTAGTAATGTTTCCCATATCCATCAGAATTTTAACTGCATCTAATCGATCTTTTATATCTTGATGATTTGCAATAAAACTGAATTGTGGATGATCAAATTTCCATCCATCTGATGCATGTGCTTCTTTTATATAGATAATGATGAAATCAATAGGAGAGTTTAATTCATTATGATATTGTGCAAGTTCAATAAAAGATTTTAAACTTGCAAGAAATGGAGGTCATGTACAACTACCAAAATTAATTACTAAATATCGTCCTTCTTTTAATAAGGAACGTAAATTGATTGGTTTTATATTTATATCATTATTATTTTTTTTAAACAAATTAATATTTTCTGTTAAAACTGGAATTATTTTAGCAGTATATGGTACCTCTTCACCAGGGTCTGTGAGAGTAAATGGAATTGTTCGTGATAACTTGATACGTTCACGTGATAATTTCCAATAAAATATCCAAAATTGTAATAGAAATGCTGAACGAAGTATAAATGATGGTGGACATATTCTTGCCTATAAGAAAACAAAATGTTTTTAAAACAACGATTAAGATTAAAAAAAAGTAATACATACAGTTACAGCATTTCCTTGAATAAACTCATTCGGCATTTGATGATCCATATTCATTCGATCTTGTTCCGCTGATTCTTTTGCCTTGCGAATCCAATCTTTTTCTTGACCGGAAATAACAATCCAAAGAAGATATAAAACCATCATTACAGGTCTGCATATCATCTCTTTCATTGTCAAAACTATGTCAATAAATTCATTTTTTAATTTGACAAAGAAATCGTTCCACATTGTTTTTAAATTTTACTTTTACATAAACACAGTATCTCCATATATAAAATGACATTTTAATACATATATTCACAAAAAACGTGCCTGATAAGAATATTTATTCAGTGTTGCTGCAGTTTCTTTTTCATTTAAGAAAAGAAAGAATCGAAAACATGACCGAAATATTTCTTGTTTTATTAATGACGCTATCTTGTTATCAGCCAAATTTTATTCTACAATATCAAAGAAAACCGTAAACCATTGATCAGTTTCTTTAATCAATAACTAATCTTTTTTTATTTTACCGAACAAAATCAATTTTGTATCTTCGGTTCTAAAACCACTTTAGACACAAACCATTATAAACAATAAAAAACAAAAAACAATCAATTTTAAATATTCTGTTTAAAAAAATACTTTAAAGTCACAACTGAATATCTAACTTGAGGGTGTGTGTGTGAGTATCTATCAACATAAAGCCGCACCTAGATTCACGCACGCACACTCACATGCACCTCCACACCCTCAGTAAGTAATAGAACGTTGACAAAAAACAATTTTTCATATGCAACTTAATGTGTTCTATCATCTGGGAACATCAGAAAATCATTTTTGAAAACAAAAACGTTTTGTATGGAAAACTGGTTTTCTAGAAAACCAAGACCTTTCAGGCTCCATTAGTAGTAACGACCATGATATTCGGATTCAACATCGTCGATTGCCTATGACCAACTATGTTTGAACCCAAAAGGGATTTTCGAGTTGGTGCACCTTCCTCGTTAGATAATATAAACATTTACTATCAATTTTTAATTGAGTTAATACTTTTGATTGTTGAGATAATATCTGACGAATATAATTGTTGCAATAATGATCAGTATCATAACTTCAAATGGATAATGATCGAATTATAAACAGCGATATATTGTGTTATTTTCTACAAAGTAGTTTAATTTTATCGGTTTTCTCAATTAAATCTTTTATTTCGAAACAAAAATAATGTATCCCATTTAAACTTTGAAAAACCCCATTTGAGAAACAAGAAATGGCAGTTCTGCACAATAATAAAAAATCGAATGATGAAGTTCGGTAGGCAACGAAGTAAAAGATAGATTCGATATGAATTTTTGTTTTTGCAATGAATATCAATCAATTTTTATTACCAGTGAATGTTAAGATTAATTTATACATTATATTTCAATGAAAATAATTTGATATTGAAAAAGACATATCGTCTTTAGTTTACCTATACCCAAGTTTTCAATGACAATTGCATTACGACCCACAAATGCAAGAATTCGTCGTGGAATTATGCAGAACTGCGATATTCTCATCGTAACGACGCACAACTGTAGCACATTGTTTTTTCACGTTACGATAGAAATCTGATAGAACTACAATAAAATTATTACAAAAATGATCACATGAGCCATTTGTTCGTTTTTATTGCTTTCTGTTGTAAGTCCGAGCTGACGTTCGGGTTCGCTGTATGCCTAGATTTATCTTGCATTAAATGAGAAAGACGTCATTCTGTCCATCATCAATGGTGACAATAAGAAGACAAAATAATATAAAGTATAATTAATATTTTTATTTTGAAGAGAAAGGATTGAGCAAATAGAATAGCATAGAACTTATGCATCGAAGTGAAATATCTCTGAGAAAATCTTTTGTCAACAGATTTCCAAGGTTTTCCTTTCTCACTTTTGTTTTTTTACTAATGAACAATATATAAATGATGATAACTAGTTGATTTCTATCTGGACGATTATTTTTATCAAACTACTCATAATAATTTACTTTGTATGCACTGTAAAACGTTATAATCTGATACAAACAATAATACTTTTCCTTTCTTTTCGAAATAATCGATACGAAAAATGAAACATCGAAAGCTTTCTTCTTTTAATCATCATTAAAATTATAACAAAATAGAACAAAAAGAAACTAATCTATGTTGATTTTCTTATAGAAATTCTTCTGTCTATTTTTGTATCAGAATTATTTAATGATCTGATGATGACGATGATTTCAAATTATTTAAAAGTTCAACAAATTTTGGATCATTTTTTGAAACGATTATTTCTTTGCTCTCGATTTCATTAATGACTTCCATGAGCGTTTCAAATGCATCATTATCATCATCTTTTTCTTGAATAGCTGTTTTCGGAGTTGAGCTTGTTCCTTCAGTAATTATTTCGGCTGTAATCACATCGATCTCTTGGTTGAATCTTTCTTTTTCAATTAATCTATAAGTAAAAATGGCATTGACTTTTTTTAACATAACAAATCTTTGTTGAATTTGACGAACTTTTCTATTTCGATTTTTTGATCGATGTGATATATTATCTTATCTTTCTAAATGAAATAAAATTTTATTCATATTCTATACTTTTTTGTACAAAAATATTTTATTTACTTGAAAAGAAAATTTGACTCCTGATTTTATTTTCTACAATATCACAACGAATTGTACACTATGATATACATAATTTAATACGACCCGTCAATTACCTTCTTGACCACGTAAAATATCATCCATCTGCTTCTGAAAATCATTAAATAGCATTATATATCCAGGTCGCACAATCCGACACGGAACCGATTGTTTACGTGGTACTCCGGAGACTTCATGGAAACCTTCTTCAGGAACCATCATCCTGGGTAAATGATGATTATTTTCTTACATCATCGAATTTTGCATGAAATTCTTTGTTTATCATCGCTTGATGAAAAGCTTCATACAAACATTGAAATTTTTTCGTTCAGGTTGGTTTCTACTCATTATTAATCTAAAAATAAAAAGGAAAGTGTAACTGTGAGTGTGCGTAGGTGTAGTCGAAAGAATAGATATAACTACACCAACACTCACACTCGCAATTGTGAAATCTTGATAAAACTACAAGAATTAAAATAATAGACAGTAATGAAATTTGATATATTATGCAAGGGTAAAGAATCAAATGTTACCTTTTGTTTTAGAGTTGATACAGTTTGGAATGATTGAGATGAGTATGGCGAATGAGGATTGAGAGTATCGCAAATAACTTCGTTTGAAAGTGAATATAAGTGGTCAAGTTTTCTACGATCATACATTGCAGTATCTGAAGTATCTTTTTGTTTCAATGTTGTGGTAAATTGTCAACTTCACATTTGTTTTTTTTAAATCTCTAAAACAAGCAGTATACATTTTGCCAACGGTTATGACTAAAATAAATTTTTCAATAAAGTCTAGCTATATAAACAGTAATAGAAAGTGTTACGATCGAACTCACAACAAAAATTCCGAGCAAAATTTTGGCCAAACTTTTTTCTTTATTGTGCGATGAATATTAGATGCAAACTGACTGTGAGTGTCTTGTAATTATTTTTTTATATGAAACAATCGTTTCAGTTATTGATGGAATATCCACTATTGGACTTAAACTATCCATTTTAACGTCGAGGGTGTTAACTGATTTATCAAGCTTAAATGGATTTTCGCAAAATTGCATATATTGAAAGAAAAAATTTAACTTTCGACTCTATCACAAATACCACCAACAGATGAAAAATCCAATGTGCCACATGAAACGAAGTTATTACAACGCGTTTTAATTATAGCTACTTTTGTAACATTACGAAATATGTTTTGATTTTACTTACCACCTTTTTCAAAATATTGTACTGCGGTGTGAACACTAATCGCATGTAAGTTAAATGCGAACTTGACAATATGTGATGACATTAAATACATCGTTTTTTTCGAACAGTCTTTTGTTGATGTATTAAGTACAATAGATCGTAGACATGGATGTTGAATAGAGGTAAACGTAGGTACTGGAATGGAACAAAACATATATCGTGACTTATCATTAATACTACACTTTCGATTACTATGATCAACCATTCTGACGAACTCCCATCTTCACTAGCCGAGGGTGTGGGTGTGAGTATCCTATTCAAGTCACACGCACACTCGATCTGCTTCTTCACCACGTAAAATACCATCCATCTATTCCTAAAAATCATTAAGTAGCATTATATAAATGATGATGATTCTCTTACACCTTCGTATTTCGGATCGAATTCTTTTTTTGTCCATCGATTTACGAAATGCTTCATAGAAACATCGGATTTTTTTTCTTTCAGTTTTGTTTTTACTCATTATTAATCTAAAAAGAAAAAGGATATGTATAACATTTATTTAAAAAAAAACTTCTCATAAAGACGATTTGTTTAAGAAGAACACGAAAAGACATTTGATATAATTGCTTTTCCTTTCACCATAATGTTAATTCTTTCGTTCCTCTAACTATCCAACTTTTACCTTTTGAGTTTTTCCACTTTCCATATTCAAATTTCAGGGAGGATGTGGGTGTGGGTTTTGGTGTCGGTGTCGACTGAAAATAATGGTTATGTCAAGAAATCCGGAAAAGATAAATCCGGAATCGAAAAAATCCGGAAAAGTAAAATCCGGAAAGTAAAAAATCCGGAAAATAAAAAATCCGGAAAATAAAAATCCGGGAAAAAAATAATCCGGAAAAGAAATAAAATATGTTTGTGAACATGGAAATCTAATACCCGATATCCGCTCAGCGAGATAGTATGACAACAGGGAAAAAAAAAAGAAATGACCAGATGAGGAATCGAACCTCGGTCGTATTGCGTAACAGGCGGATGCTCTACCAACTGAGCTAGGGTGTGGGTGTAGGTTTGGGTGTGAGACAGTAAGATCCACCCAGACCCAGATTCACCCACACCCTCGTTTGCTTGGAAGCTGTAGAAGTCATCTTTCGACAACAATCTCTCAAGCTTCAAGCGGGAGCACAACAGAAGAAAGCGCCGAAGACGTTGGTCAGGCAGAAACACATCGATAACTTAGGTACTCGCTTCTGCAACGGCGACATCGATCGCACCGAAATTCTCGACGGAGCCTCTCCTTTGGTAACTTCGAAGAAATAAACTTCTTATCAAATTGTCTAACACATCTTCATTATTTCTACTTGTTATATCTTATATCACTATTACACTACGAATAAAATTTTCCTTGATTTTCCACTATTCAGATTTTTCTTTTTCCGGATTTTTATTTTTTCGGATTATCATTTTTCCGGATTTTATTTTTCCGGATTTATCATTCCGGATTTATTTTTCCGGATTATTATTTCCCGAATTTCTTGACAATACCAAAATAATACACACATCCACACTCACACCCTGATTGTCTTTATCTTCTCGATGTTCGTTTCAATCAACTTCATACACTCATTATTGATGTGTTTAATCCTTTTGATATAGGCGATGATATTAATCGAGTTAGCTTTGCTAGAGGAAATCTTTATTGTTAAAAAAAAACGTTATTTTTCTTTCTAGGACGATTTACCAAGTCTAAAGTATTTGTCTTTTTCATGCAATTTGGAGACATCTTTTTACAATAAAACAATTCTTTCACTTCTCTATCTAATGTCAAATCTTGAACGACTCAATTTATATATTGTGGTCGATAGTACATTAACATTTATTGAGGGAAATTACTTGAAGAAATTAAATGAATTTCAATTTTCTATTATTTCACGTATATATAATCTGAAGAAATTGAATTTACCATCAACAAAAGATATCCAACAAACATTCATTGATTTTCAGACTGAGAATATTATTTCTTATGTTGATTATTTTCCAGAAAGTAACAAGGGTCAATGTCATGTTTATTCATATCCATCTAAAATGGAGTATTACAAATATATTACAAATAAATTTCCTGGTGGATTATTCAAATATGTTCGTGTAGTGTCATTATTTGATGAAAAACCATTTGAACATGAATTTTTCCTTCGAATTCAAAAATCATTTCCATTCATGGAAAGTCTATCAATAAACAATAATAAACCACAAAAATGTAAACAATCAAATGATAATCATGGAAATTTATCTCTTATTCAGTATTCTTCTCTTACTGAACTTTGTATCATCGATGTTCATGATGATTATATAGACGAATTTCTATCCGATACAAAAACGTATCTAGAAGCAAATTTCGATCTTTATATCAAATATGAATCCTTACAACGGATAACAGACAATTTTACAAGAGAAAATACACGAATTAATTGTACAAAAGTTAATAAATTATATTTACATGATAATTCAAAACATTCAAACACTTTAGAAGAATATTTTCCTATCGCCAAAGTAATTCCTCGATCTGTATTTTGAAAGTCAATCAAAATCTTCCATGAAATAAAAGAAAACTATCTTTTTTGGTACACAATAACAAACTTTATATAATAAAAAAATAATCTAAATATGAAAAAATTGTAAAATACATTTAAATGTATAAAATCTTATAGATTAAAAAGCTACTCTAAAACATTATTTTCTTATTATTAAATTTTAAAATAACGTGTACATTTGACAGTTCAGCTATATCGTCATATTAACTTCAAATGACTAATTTTTACTAGACAAATTCTAATAAATGGCAACAAACAATGAAATAACAGAAAAAGAACAGACTTTAATTGGAACAATACAGACTTAACTTCTTCGTACAATTTTAATAATTTTCAGTGTTCTATGAACAGCAGAAAAGATTCAACAATGGATGAAAATCTTTCATATTTCAAAGAACTAACCAATAGATATTGTTCTTTCTTTGGATTATATATTAGATGGTATCATGTACTTGAACTATTACTTTGTGAGGACCAATATGATGACAAACTCAATATATGGTCAATCGGTTGTATAATAGCAGAACTCATCCTGTTTCAACCACTTTTTCGTGGATCAGATGTGATTCATCAGAATAATTATGTTATTGTCTTACTTGATTTATATTTTATTTGTATCTAATCAAGAATTAATGAGATAAATTTTAAAAAAATAAGATATTTAACTTCTATCAAGAAAGAAATCAATACAATATTTTGATATGACTTTATATTACCTGAGTGTAGATAGTCACTTTCATATAAAAATAATTATTTTTTGATTGATATAATTCTTAATTACTTACTTAATCGTGATGTGTGGTCGTAGATTTTATTGTTCATTACCCTATTTATATGCTTCAATTTGAATATTAGAATTGATTGCTACCATATTGATCTTACTTATATTAACAGGAAATTGGGTTTTATATCATTTTGACAATCTTAATACAACATCAGTAACTTCCAATATCACAACAAACGATTGGATCTCTTTCAAATGATGTCTTTATAAAATATTTAATTGCATTGGATTTAGCTTTTGCTAGTGCGATAGTACCTATTTTACTGCAATTGTTTTAATCGTTTCTATTTTTTCTTGTTGCTGTTATGTGAAGAAGAAGAGACGTTGACATTCATTTCTCTGATTTCTATCTTTAACTTGTGAGATTGTCCATGTTACAAACTTCGACCAGGATTAAGATTTATAATTCAAATAACTTTTCGTACAATTTGTATTTTACTGCGAACATTAGGTGTAGCGATGTATGTAGTATTACTTAAATCAAACATCATCATCATTTAAACAACGTATTCTTCGACAATTACTAATTGTTACTGGAGTTTCTTTAATATTACCAATTTTAACAATTCTTCTTGATATTTATCATTAAAGAATCTGATGGGCATATGAACCAAATATTGATATATCTTTATCATCGAGTACCACATATAAATTTCCATGTACACTTATTTCAAAGATTACTTTTGGTAATGTAATTGTTTGTGATATAGCGAAAAAGAGAGTGTAGAATAAATGTGAATATATGCATGTCTTTTGTATTTTCTTTTACCAATTGCATATCACCTTTCGGAATAGAAGCCGTAATTTCTGATTGATGCCATAAAAACAAAGGAAGTAAATTTAAATAAAAATATCAATTACGAATAATAAAGATTAGATAATAATAGTTGCATGACGCACATAGCATTTCAAAAATAACAAAAGAGCAATAATATATAAATTTCTTCTGTTTAACCTTTCTGTATACATCTATATATACATCGGTTTATTCATTCGTTAGTTTATTAAATCTCATTCGAAATTTTCGAACGAATATATCAATAATTATGTATATTCAAGTCGCTTGTCTTCTTGTCTTTTTAATCAATTCATCTCAAGCAACTATTCCAGATGCTACAATTCAAGCGGATGCTGCTGAAATTACTCGCTTAAATCGAATGGTTCTATATAGTTCACCACCTGTTTTTCGTAAAATGCAATCATTTGTCTGTGAAATGATTAATAACTGCTGTCCATCAATCAAATCAAACTTTAATGAAGTCACAGGCGAAGGTACCACTGCTGGACCTAGTGCTATATTAAATGCTTGTATTGGCAGTCAACCTGGTACCTCCTTCTTAAAAAAATGTCCAATGATTGATAAGCTTTTACCATTAACTCAAGATCCAGAGTTTCTCAATTATACTGTTGTTCTTATGACAGCTGCCAACCAAATGCAATCGTCTGATGTTGAAATTGAAGAACCATGTGCAGCAGATGAAACTTATGCCATCTATTGCAAACGAAATTCACGAAAAGAAATGTTATCATGTGAACGAAAAACACTTACATATGTAGCACAACATAACAGTGATGATCAATACAAAACATATATTCAAGAAGTTAAAAGCACTACTCGTACTCTAATGAAAACAATGAAAAATGCTTTTCCCAAGAAAAACAACGAGAAATTTCAAAAGAATCAACGTTATTCATACGGAAAGAATTAAAAGTAATTAGACTTTAATCCCTTATAGCTATGAACCATCATATTTTATCTCTATTTTTAATCATGAATAAAAAAAACTCTTAAAAGTTATTCTTTTTTAAGATCATTCGGTTTGGTTTGTAATTGTCGCGCTTTTCTTATAAATAACGAGTCTTTTTTTCAATGATTCATAAATTTCATCGATCGATCGATCGATGTCCAACTTGATATTTTGATATGTTTTCATAGCATTCAGCCATTGAGCATACATATATTATTAACAGCTTGATAAATTTCTTCAAAAGTTGGATTGCTCATATATAAACGTTTGACAATTGATTTCGATAGCATTTCATTATACCAATCAGCTAAACAAGAATTTCTTGTATTTTCAAACAGATTTAATTTGAATCAAAGTTTAATAGAGTGTTCATAAACATTAGTTGACAAAAGAGCTCAAACAACATATAAAAAAATAAAAGCAAAATTTCGTAAAGCTCACCTAAAATTTCTTCCATTTTTGAATCTTAAACAACTTTCTTATACCGGTCGAAGATCATCAAAACTGACAAAAATCATTTTGTTTTACAAAAACATTCGATAGATTTGAATACATACGAAAAAGTGCTTGAATACCTTGTTCATTGATTATTTCTTCATCTTGAGGATAGATATGGGTAAAAAATTGATGTAATACCAACAGTTACCCCACTTGAAAATACATCAGATTCTTTTCAAATGCCCTTAGATATTTGAAATGACATGAAATATAATTGAGTTATAATGAACGAAGACGAACGAATAGTTTATATACTTTTGAAAAGAAACTATTAGTACAAGATGCACAACAAATAGCAATAGTTTATCAATTATTATCAGCAGTTTGTTGTTTCACACGAGGATGTGGATATGCTATTTATCTATTACACACTCAACACTCGCTGGACAGTATTGTGATGATATCTTATTATACCATTGACAGAAACTCGAGGTCTGACTAAAAATATTTTTATAACAATCCAACATTTATCATTATTACTGCACGAACAAATAACTAATGGATGCCTATTTATTTTCGTTTCTTACCTGTCCAAGATGGAGAAGATTGTATGCTGTGTTGTACTATAAAACAAGTTTGCGTTAGTATCTGATGAGTTGAATCATCAAACGGTGAATAACATTATTAAGTAGGAAACTTCTTCTGCTTTTTTTTCGTTTTTCAATACGTTGTGTGTCACCTCGATGATTATGTGCATATAAATGAGCAAACAAATAAGCATACTGCAGTGTAAGTGACTGTTGTGTGCATAGTATAATCCATTTTTGGTTAAAGTACATGAAGACAGAACAGAAAAAAAATCAAAATCACGTCGACTACGTCACAGATTGGAAAAATCTTCTTGCATAAAGTTGGTAATAATGAATCATCCAGCTTCGTTATATATAACCTGCCTTGAAATTAGTTTATTAAGATGTTGTCTCTTTTATGAAAGAAAACGCAGGTAATGTTATGTCTATTTTGTCTAGGCCCTCCTCTGTAGAAAAAACACAGCTTAATGATAAACTCCTATTCTCGTTTATACACCTTATAAACGCTTTTAACTACTGTTTTTCTATATAAATCCTTCTGAGTATATCAGTATACGCTTTATGCCAAACCATAGAATAAAAATGCTTCTTGGAAGAGTTTATCCCGTTCATTAACACATAAAGGGTATATTACTAGTATAACGGTTTGTGAGTCAGTATAGAAATGTATGCAGTGTGGAAGTTAAAACTATTTTTTAAAAAGTTGATATCTGACAAAATCTGTAAAAAGTTATAACAGTTATAACTAGAGTTATAACTCAGGTTGATAGTTATAACTACGATTGATAGTTACAACTCACTTAACTTTTTAGCCAAAAATTTGGTCGGATATAACCCAAAAAGTTATAACTACCCTAGTTTTAACTCCCACACTGACTGTATGAGAATATTTATAAAGTACTCGGCAAGATACTGTCACACACGAACATATAAATAATTAAGTAATACGCAGTGATATAATGGGTTAGATCTAAAGAATAAGGAGAGTTTTAAGTAGAACGAATAAGTATAAGATGTCAAATTCTTATCCACATTTCGGTACATAAAAAAGTAGGAGAATAATAACGTAACATATGAGTAATATGATTTATCAGGGATGATAGATAAGCACGCTTGCTTGTTATGACATAAGCGTCGGTACTAAGAGGAGAAAGAAAGAAAAAAGAGGAAGAAGAAAAGGAAGCAAAGGAAAGTAGAAAAGAGAAGCGTACAATCTTTTAGATTATCATATGGATTTTTCCTCTTATAGCTAGATATTTATCCCAGCTGTGCTTTACATGGAATGATTCATATCTATAAGAGGACGAGTTGATAAATTCCAATAAGAAGGAACTTCGAAAGGAAGCGGAAGTGACTGAGAAAGTGATTGGAAAATTCACACTCTTATCTGTTGGAAAGATTAAATTGGAAAAAACATGTATTCTATTATATAATAAGAGATAATTTCGTTATGTTTGCATAGAAATATCTACTATTTGTTCTCTTCTTAACAGTCTATTAATCATGGCAACTATCCTTCTCGGATCCGACGACAAATATACTAAAAATGCTGAGCGTGCCAAAGTGCTCATTAGACTCCTTTATGCAGCTCAAAATTTAGATGCTGCTCTCGTCCAGTTCGATAGGCTTTATTCTAATCCATCAAAAATAGGAACAGACAATATACTATTGGAGTTTGATGCTCATGTTGGCGATTGTGGTTGTCAACTACGCGCTCAAATGCTCTTGAGCCTTGCAGAATATTATCGCGATGCAAAAAAACGTGAATGGATCAGCAAAGCTATTCAAGTACTTAGCGGTATCAAAAAAAAACATTGTCAATGAGTACTTGGAGAATCGTCGGTTAAAATATAATATTCGATTATCAGGTTCATCTTCATCAAATTCAATGATTGATATCTTGGAACGTATCGGATGCAAACCTCTATTTGCAATACTTGACCAATGTTCATCCAAAGTGGACTCACACGACGAGCTCATTGTTCCCATGACTTCCGATCATGTCAACAAAGGTGGAAAACCCGCTGATACTCATCAAACAGTAAAAGGAGATGAATGGAACATGTCTAACTATCGTATGGTAGCTCGTTTTCTATCCTACTGCCGTCTCTTATCGCGCCGGAAAATATCCAGTTTAGAACGCGGTGACACACGTATTCGCTATCGATTAGATCCTTCATTTGCAATTGATGAGACTGTGACGCAACTACATCGTCTCGAGATCATCAATGACACTCTTTTATCAAATCTCACTACTTATAATGATCGGCCATCTCGTAAATCGCTCATGAACGAGGTGGAGATCATTCAAACATATATAACACAACTTACTTGTAATTGGATATGTAGTTTAGCGTATAAATTAGGACTTGGTCAGCCGATTCAACAGTAAATGATGCATTTTCTGATATATTATATTCATTTTTTTATGTTTATAGGCTACTCAAAAGTAGTATTCAAGAATCAAAGCGCGAACTACATTGTATACCTGCATACACTTCTATTTTGTTGATACGCTTTGAGTGGTTCGTCAGAAATACACCACTTTTTCTTGTCGTTCGCCGTTTTTGCGCTAAAGGTATGTATTCTCAAAAAGAAAATGAATTGATTACAAGTTCCAAAGTTTTTTGAATTTGTCTTTTATCACTGTAGGTTATCACAATGCATTCTATCGTGTCTCAATTAATTCTGATGCAATACGTTCGCATATGAAAGCTGTCAATGAAGACAACTCTTATATCGTCGATTCCGGTAACACCAATTGGTTTTGTCTTACTCCAGTTTGTGAAGATTGTGTTTGCACTGAAGACTGGGCTCGTCAACCTCATGTGATTATCATCACAAATTCTATCCATGGTACTATGTCAGAATTCTACATCCGAATGGGAAATGAACATGACTGTCGACCTCATAATGTTGAATTATGTCTTGAATATGATGAATTTATTATGAATGAATTCAACACAATCAATTTCTCAAAAGTAATGATGCACATCTTTAGTGCGCACGATCAATATCCATTCAATCTACCTAACAACGAAGATCATCATTGTTTTATGAGGAAGATTATTGACTCGACTCTTGGCCATAAAGCTGCCATAATTTTTGATCAAATAGTGAATGAGACTTATGATCATCGAGCAGAGTGTGCTACTCTCGGTCTTTTGAATATACAACATGTCTTTGCGGAACTTCCCGTTGTTATTGCTAATCAAACAAAACAGATAATACAACAAAATGAAAAACCAGTTCCGTATGGATGCTTTTGGGCTAATAGTACAGATACCACTAGTACCTCAATCTGTAAAACAGATTGATTGTTTGTTTTAATGAGTGTTTCATGACGATAAATAAACGAGAATGTATAGTTCATTAGTGTGTAAAAGAAATGATATCGTAGTGTTCAGTTATCTTGAGGATGTGACTGTGTTTTTTTTATTCTCTCACTCATAGTCTTACCCTAACCCTTAGCCACACCCACCTTTAAACACAAATTTCTTCTTAGAAAAACTTCAATATATTATGGAAACAATCTTCATAAAAATATTCAATTATTCACGACAAAATATTTTCATTGTTGATGCAGAATGTCTGAATTTTTATATCCAACGAATTCGTATTTAAACAGAAATTTTTTAACAGTGTAAGGTCTCTTTCATTCGCATAGCCTTTGCGTCGATTTGTTCTGGTCCAAATCTTGATTGTTTTCAAATTTAGTATTATATCTGCATCACTATGAGTGGTTGATTGATGCATCTAATAAAGAAATAATAAGAAAAAACTGTTCTAATATCACAAACAAGTCATAATACAATCGATATTTTTCTTTCAAAGAGTATTTTTCTACACTTCGCGAAGTGATTCTGATAAAATTAAAAGTGAACTATCAATCTTTTAATACTTACTCCAATGAGTTGTAAACTTCTATCTTGATCAAAATGAACAGCGTTTATCATTAATTTATTTAATTTTGGTAGACGAGGTAGTAATTCTTTTGTTAATACATGAAATGATACTTGAGTGCTTGTCCATGTACGATTTTCATCAGGAATATCTGTGAAAAGAAATTCGATAAAGATGTTAAAGAGAATCTGCTCAAACTAATTTACTTCCAATAACAAGTGTTTCCAAATTACTCAATGATTTTTCTTCTTCTGGTAAATAATCAAATTCGAATTCAACATCCTGTGTACCATGGTGATCGCCAGCTGGACATCCACATCGATATGGAGAGAAACTAATATTCAAATATTTCAATGATTTCATTTTTGAAGATATCACTTCATTACATAATTCTACAAAGACAAATAATAAAATAGTAGTATGTCGTGTGATTTAAGTTTAAAAAGTTCTTCCTTACGTTTAAGAAAAGATCCGTCCGCGTCTCCTTCACGTATCTCGTGTAAAGTCAATCGTTCTAATGTTTGATACAAATCCATTCTTTCACTAAATCTAACATTGGATACTGGATACTCATGGTGATCAAATAGCGTTAAAGATTTCAATTTGCTAAATTTATCTTGAAATAAACTATCGTTCATAATTAAATTTAATCGATGTTCATCACAAGTACTAATTGCTAATGAATGATTTTGACTTTTGGAAAGAAAACCATGTAATTGAAAACAAAATGTTAATAGATTTTCACTGGGAACGGAATCGAGATCAATCGGAATGTTTATTTTATGTAAAAGTAATTGATTTAAACGTTGATTTAAAGAAAAGAATGTGTTATACACTTCATAGAAATGAAAATAATTGAAACACATGAATATTAATTCATCTGAGAATTGTTCGAATTTTGTAATCATCATTAGATTCGAACTGAAGTGAATACAAACAATAATATAAATAGATAATAATTCTTTGCATTACTTACATCTGATTCTCTGCGTTCGTTTTCTGACGTTTTCTTGCGGACATAAAACTTTTTTCTACTTTTAATAACTGCAAGAATAAAGATCTAGACTCTGCTTTATATAGCTACACCTATGTAATTACACCACCAGATGAAATAACTTGTTTTATTATCAGATAAGAATATACTTGATCATCGTACCGAAATTTTATCTTCTTCGAAATTTATGGCATTTAGAAGTTCAAAAGAGTTTATTAATATGTATATCATTATTGAGAAAGATAACAATATTTATCAATATACATCTTATTAAAAATGACTATTATTAACGTTCTTCAATTAAATCAGCTTTTTAAAGAAAGTATTGAAACAGGACTATTTGAACAGTTATAGAGATAAAGCAAAGCAAAAATATATGACCTTATGTCATAGTTTGTTTAAAAATTGGTGGCTGACTGAAAGTCGAAAGTATAGTGAATACACACGAGAATAATCGAATAGTTCTTTCTGTTGCAGAGGACGTTAATAAGCATGTGCGCAGTGAGTATGGGTGTGGATGTGTGCCCTAGTTGAATATAAAATTTCATTGGCATTCAACACATCCACACCCCATACCCATCTTCAAAAATGTTGATGCTTGTGGCTGCTACTTCATTATAATTCATTAAGTAATTCATGTATTCGTGAAATATATTCAGTAAAATTGAATATTTATTGTTTGTATGTAAATCAAAAAAACATTATTTGCATATTAATTATTTTATGATTGTTACTATTTGAAGTCGTACGAATAATTAGTCAACATGAGTAGCAAATATAAATCAAAAATATCTGATTTTTAACACTGTCTTTAATAAAAGTTGAATTGCAAAAATCTTTATTTAAAGCCAACATAAAATTGTATTATATGTATAGTCTATTTGAGGTCAAAACGAAATATAACAATAGAAATATAATATCTCCAATCAATGATCATTTAATCGTCAGCTGAAACGACTGTGAAATAATAAAAAAAACAGTCGGATATGGAACAGCAGTCAGCGATGAACGAACGAGTGATCAACATACGTTCATTTTGAATATATACAATATTAAAAACATATTTCAATGATGATGACCACTCTTGAGTCTTTACCAAACGAACTTTGCTTATTATTTATGCGTTTCCTTGCGCCCATCGATTTGTATCGAGCACTAGTGGCAGTGGTTTATCCAGCGGGGGGGCACGGGGCTTTTTGCCCCCTCGGAGGGTGCTCCTGCCCCCCCGGAATTCAGAAAAATTACGCTTTTTGAGTCTGAAACTCTACGTTTGCCCCCTCAGAAGAGAGATTTTTGCCCCCCCGGCAGTTAATTTCGCACCCTCGGACGAAAAAAGCTGGATAAAACACTGACTAGTGGGTCTTAATTATCGTATTAATTCTTTACTTACTGCTATAATTCCTCATCCAATACTTGATACATCTGAATGTGCTAGTAATCGTATTTTGTTTTCTGATTTCTGTCAACTGCTCGAAGGTAAACATTATTGGTCAAAATGTTTGCTATCAGCTATCAACACTATTCATCTTGGTGATACACTTGCTGGCAAAATACTTTGTGATGATTCCAAGTCTCCAATTACATTATCTTCTATGAATACCTCGTTATCAAATCTATTTACTTCACTTTGTCGATTATATATCACAAAAGAGATTATTGATCAAATCAACATACTACAAATGGTTCTTCCAATGAGAAACTCACTTCGTCACCTTCACTTAACATTTGGAGACAGTGTAAAGGATTCATTATACACAAAGATAATTAATGAATTCATTCATCATAAACTCTCATTCTACAGCATGACATTTGACATAAAAAATGGTAAATTGTTCATATTCTTTTATACTCATTATCAATCGTTTCCTTCGTTTTATTTCTGAGGAACATGTTGAGTCGATAACGAATTTTCGAAGCTAAGTGATGCTAATATTTAACTTTTACGAGAAGTAGATAAACTAGAATTAAACTATTGAGCAAAATAGACTGATATAAACAGTTGAAAATGATCGAATAAATATCGTTTTCAACCACAATTGTATCTAGTCAAAAACGAATATTCTTGAGGGTGTGGGTATAGGTGTGAGTGCGGGCGTGTATGTGTTATGAGTGCGAGTGAGAACGAAAACTAATCTTTTCTTTATGCACATCCACACCCTCAATATGTAATTTTCTCTTAGAAATTAATTACACTCTACGTTAGAGAGAATTTTCATAACAAAAACATTATATTGAGAGTCTTTACAGAATTTTAAATATGAACTGCTATAATATTTGTCATGCATCTACTCATCGAAGTTGAATCAGGAATCTTACTCTTCATTCATAAGACTTTTGTTAATATTAACGAACTTTTAACCTGTAAAATGAGAGAATTTAATAATTTAATAAACATTATGAGAAAATTAGAAAAGGAAATTTTCTAAAAGATTCGCAGACACAACTATACATTAAGAGTTATAAAGATATTTTCATGAAAACTGTTTTGGAAGCATAGAAAATGAAAAGCCTAGAATGGCGACAAAAACTAATACTAATACACCTACTAAAAGAATTTTTCAGCTGTTAGTAGAAGAATTAAATGACTATATTATGGATAAAAATTTCAAAGTTCATGACCAGCGCATAGTTTTGTAGTTAAATCGAAAACTCGATGTTTTCTCTTTTTAAAGAAGAAACAAATTATACATTTGTCATCGAAAAGTAATTAAGCAGCACTCTATGTAACTTTTGATATTATAATTATAATAACTAACATTTTTGAAATTTTTTTTCAGTAGGTCCACATGATCATGATTGGAATATAAATAAGTGTCAATGGCAAGATTTATATTGGCCCAATGCTGTTCATCTTTCTCTCTCCATTCAACAAGCAAGTGATTTATTTCTTCTTCATCATCGTGCATTACCCATTCTCGATCATCTTTGCGTCACTATTTTCAACCCAGTCAAATGTTTTACAAAAGTTATCGAAAATGATTTGGAACTGAAAAATACAACGAATATGATGATATTCCGTCTTCGTTCACTTCAACTAAGTCACATATCACTTGCTCAACTTCTTATATATCTTTCATCAATACATATGCCTTTACTCGAAAAATTAACATTAATTGATGTTTATGATAATAGTAAGTCTAAGTCTAACAACATGATGTTATCTATAGATAAATAATTAATAATATTTCAGTTTTTATGAATTTTTTCTATAATCTGCTTTTGTTTTTATTGATACTAATTAAACATATAAAAGAAATCGACTAAGGAAATTAAAATTTCATCTTATGAGAAAATCTCTTCACGTGATAGAAAGCTTTTGAGCTCAAAATTCTTTCACAAATAGAAATGTATAAACTTAGAAAAATCCTAAGAGGATATAAGTATAAGTTACGATTTGATGAAAATCTTCATTTTTTACTATAATTTTGTTTTGAAACGTTTCACTATTTCGACAAAGCTAATGTATTGACTTTAACTGAAAAACTTTATACTCATATTAAGATCTCAATCAGACTAGCTTGTCTACAAAGTTTTTGAAATTTGAATTCAATTATTTTCGAGATATCAGTATGTGAACAAGAAGACGCTTACTATAGATTCAGTGTCGTACTTGAATATTATCTTGAATAATTAATATCTCGAAAACAGTCTATGCAAAAAAATCGAAAACTTTGTAGATAATTAGTCTAATTGATACCTTGATGTAGGTAAAGTTATGGATCAAAATTCAAAATCTTAGTTTTGTCGAAGAAGTGGGACTCTACTGGAAAATAATATTAAAAAGTTGATATTTCAGCTAATAAGTAATTTGTGCCCGTATGTTTTCCTATAATTTTTCTAATCTACACATCCCTACTCGTGAACAAAATTTAAGCTTCGAAATTTTTGCACATTTAGGAAGATTTTCTAATCAAGTTCAAAGAAAAGTGTACTAGTTATTTGGACTTCTAGTTTTTAATATTTTCTAATTTATTCAATCACAATGTCGAATTATTTCGATTTCTTATAATTCTTTGTTGATTTATATCTTATTTGAAATGTATAAATGTAGTGGTGTAGACAAGGGTTATTTAATTCAAGAATAGTCAGATGTTTTAGAGAAAATTATTTTTAATTTGTAAAATTGTAGCACAGATTTTAACATTATGATTAATAGAGCAAAAATGTTTATTTCGTCATCGGAATCCTTTTGATCTATTCTACATACAAAGAAAATCAAAGGTATATAGAATATATTATTAACGCATAACTAATGAGAAATGTTCTCAGACGAAAATATAAGAGTGACAATTCTGATTCCATTAACTTCAGGATTTTCAAAATGAATATTTAATATCAAAAATCACTTTTCTCTCTTTGACCGATGGGCACGTGTTCTACAAGAGAGAAAAATGAAAACCTGGACTTGAATGTATATATTTCAGAGTATTGAGCAAAGGAAAAGCATAGTATAGTAACAGTATGTGCCTACTGCTATAAAAGACGAAAGAAGCGAAAAGCGAAAGATTCAATAGTATTTAATGTGCGAAAATCACAACTGTTCTGGAACGTTTAAAGATTTAAACTTGAGCAACTACTATAACTTGATGACAGATTTATCATTAATTATTGACATGTAACTATTCTTTAATCATTTGTTTTTCTATTAATTTAGCACTCAATCATCTTAACCAATTTCAACAATACTTTCAATCAAAAACAAATATGCCTGCTCTTCAACCATCGTCTTTCAAATTTCTCTTACGCTTTCCTGGTGAATTCGAATATGAGTGGAAAAGAAATCGCAATTATGAATGGCCATTCGAAACCACTAACATTGATTACTGTCTCGAAGAGTATCGTCTATCTTTTTTTCAATACTGGCGTGCAAGACTAGAACCACCAATACCAAAATATTCTCTTCTTATTTTCACTATTTCGGCTCTGTCTTACCGTCGAACTGTACATAATCACTCTTTCGCAATGAAACTTAAACAAACATCACAAGCATCATCAATTTTATGGACTTGCAATCAGATTGACAATTCACAACAGATTTTTGATAGTCTGGTCAAGTTAAAAACAACAAAGACACTTGCCATCATTGATTGGAAAGGAACACGCTCACAAAATGTACGTTAAAAAGCTGCATCAAACAAAGATCAGTATATTTGTTAGTACTTTAGTTCATTCTGTGCATAGAAAAAAAGCGTCGCTTTAAATCTTTTCATTTCACTTATATTTTTTACTTCATCTTGAGCAAGTAGTTGAGGTAAAGTTTTATTTTGTCATTTTATGTTATCAGACCAGCGTTTAGTTTTAAGAGGATGAATTTTATTATCTATTTAAAAAAATTATAAGTACTGTAAATATTACGCACAGCTTATCGAGACAACTTTCACCGAATAGCATCATTGATTATATAATTTCAAATTCTGTGTGTTATCTTAAATAATTTTAATGAATTTTCATGGCAAGGTTTAGTTAAATCATAAAAAGAAAACATCATGTTAGATATGAATAGGATCTAGGACTATCTATAAATCAAATGAAATAAAAGCTTGTAACTTTTTATTTCGAAATGAACTCGTACAGAATCGAATCAGAAGATAGAATCATATTAAAGACCGTAACGAACGTAGATATTTTGACAGTTCATCAATATCTCATATAATATTAGAGTTAGTTTTTTTTCACGTTTTCATTTTTATTCTGCAAAATTTGTCTGTTAAAACTAAAGCGCCTTGAGAAAAATTCAATAAGCTTAGTCTGAATATAATCAATGTTACAAACGAAAGAAAAATTGGCAATGATTTTTTTCATGAGTCTACTGACACATCAGAATTAAACACTGAAATGTTTCTATTATTTTGTTTTTAGGCATCTGCAAAGTTAATCATTTTCCCATTAATCTTCGATCAACCTCGATTAGATAATCTTCATTCGCTGTCGTTCTTCGAAAATAAAAACAATAAAAACTTCTTTTCAATGTCACAATCCCATCACTTTCTTGATATTATTCTCAGAGGAACGCCTAATCTTGTTCAATTAACTATTAATTGGGATTATATAATGCTTAGCGACTCGGCTTTTGGTAAAGGACGCTTTGCTGATTCACCTCTCTTCAATCTGCGTCATTTACATTTGCGATATGACAGTAAATAATTTATTTTATTATTTTAAAGTACTGTGAGAAAGAGCACGAAGAAAATAGAAGAAAGTGTATGTTTAAGCTAACTTTTCAAATCTTAAGAGTGGCTCCCTAGAAAAATCGGAAATCTGTTACATCTCAGACGTACGTTATATTCAGATCAAAATTCATTTTATACCACCTAATGATTAATAGAATAAGTTTGAAAGTGTTCAGATTTTTCCGACGTAATTTGGATTTGCTAAATACACTTTTAAAATAGTCATAGAGGAGTTATTTAAGAGCTATCGATTATTCTTTATTTTAAAGTATTATAATGTTGATAACTATATGCATTTGAACTTAGAATTTTTGCGTTAGACATTCGTTACTTTTTTGTATACATTATAGATAAAATCATATCTAAAAAAGGATGCGTTGAATTTTGATAATCTTCGAAAATTTGCAAGTATTAAGCACGTTGTATCATGCGTGATGTGTCCCGTATGAAACCAAAATTAACAATGCAAGATGCTAGCTATTGATCATTTGAATAAAAAAATAAAAGACTCTCAGTTCCTACTCTTTCTAAGCTAATTCGATATAAATATTGAGTACTACTACATAACATAGATATCTCTCACTCTCACTTGTGCTATTCATTGCTATCATTTTATATATATTAATTAGTCAAGTGATGTACATCGTGTAAAAGCACTAAATATTGTATGAAAATTTTCAAAGTTTACTAAAGTATTGCAAAAGTCTTTTGAAGAATACACTTTATATTGTATTTTGAAAAGCAGCCGACTTCTGACTCAATTGCTTTGTAGTAAATGAATACTCGAAGATGTTTTTAAATAGAAAAAGGATGCGTTATATGTACCTATACAATTTATATTAGTTTTATGTGTCTCTTCGTCAGTAAGAATTCTTTCTATTTCAACAACAGATTCCTAACAACTTTTCCAGATAAAAGTCATGAAAATGGCAAAATACTCCGAGTTTGTTTTGCAACAAATAACTGAATGTATCTGGTGACTTAATAAAGTATGTCATACAATTTTTTTTATGAAGGATATGACAACAAGTTAAGGGGATACTTAATAGTATACACTATCAGAAATAAAAGAATTTGAAATGGTATAAGTAGTAATGTTTTGTCACATGAATGATCGCTATTCGCGAGAATCGATTTCTACACTAATTAAGTAGCATCGTTTAAAAGAGTAAAAGGTTCTGATTTTTCTGCAACGACAATGTATAATTTATGCATATGAGTTAATCTATTGTTGCAGTAGATTTCATTGATAATGTTTTCTTTTTCTAGGAAAATTTGACTTATCAGAATTGATCGATCTTTCCATATTGCCAAAATCGTTTCCACGACTCAATTCTCTATGGACCAGTGGATACAATCTTATTTCTGATAAAAAACTTGCTACATTGGTTTTATCAGTTGTGACGAACTTTCACGAACTCATCGAAGTAATTATCAATAAAGGAACTCGTCGTAAAGGTTGTAGCAATCGAGAACTTGGAACGATGCATACTCAAAAAGAATACATCGAAATGTTCCTAAGAAATGCTGATAAACTTCGGGACTTGAATCGTACGTACGTTTCTTTACTCAATTTTACTGAATTATGCATCTGGTTCTAGCGCACTAAACATTTCTTATTTCTAACTCTGTAAGTAATCAATATTTTTGAAAAAGTAAATAACTTGTTGTTAAAAAGAGTTTTTTTTTGAAAAAATAAATATCACATTGAGGGTGTGGCTGTGGGTGAGTGCAGGACTCGAGCGTATACGACATTGGCAACAACACTCACCCATATAGTCACCGTACTTATGTTGGTAACCTAAGGCATTTATTGATTCGATTAGATTTTTAAACTTTTGCTTACAGTGATCATAGTATATGATTAAGAGTAGCAGGTGTTCCTGATCACTGGATTCGAACACTTGAATGTTGGATTTCTTTGGCTTATGTACGCTATATTCATGTCGATAGCAATATTATTTAAAAACCTCATAATAAAATTTCATAGTTTTTCACGTAGTTTAAGTATTTTCATTCGACACGGCGCTCTAGCTTCTTGTGGCGTTTTAACGTGCCCAACAGCTGATTTATTTAATATTTAGTGAATTTTAATTTCTTAAAAATGTTTATTGATAGCAGAAAAAATATATGCCCAATTCTATACTTTAGAATCAGAAACTTTATAATTCAGAAGGAGATCGACATGAGTTGTTATTAGAAGCGGATAAATAATAGCGTCCAAAAAGATAGAACAAGTACCGAGTACGGCAAATTGTGGATGTGAGACGAAGATGAAAGAAATTGACGAACACCATCGCTAATCAACTCGTGTATATGACTTGTAAAATGATATCCGTCAATAAATACATACGAAGTTGGATCAACACACTGATGTAAAACAGTTCCATTTATTGTAATATTCCAGCATGGATCAACTGTGTTTTTAAATAAATATGTCGATCCATTGGCAATGATCTTTGAGATGAGCGAATAGAGATCGAAAACATTCAGAGAAATCTTTGGATTACTATGTCGAAATTTTGTGACACCCGCCGAAAGATTATCATTAAGTTGAATTGTGAATGCAGTAAAATTGAGGTTCTGATCCATAATATGAATGAATGGATACGATTGAAGCGGTGGTTGATTGAACACAAGGATATGCATGGCACCCATTGTAACTAAATCTTTGATCACATTCAATAGACTGGTTGCAATCGTTGATGGACTGATAGTTTGATTGAAATAATAATCATTAAGGCCGGCCCAGATTATATAGATAGTTTGGTGAACGTTAATTGTGCTCCTACGAGTGTCATTTAAGTGAATTTCTATCTGTTGGCGAACACCTGGCACGGGTTGTAAATTGATGACCCCCCAACCTTGAACCACTTTATCGTCAATTGTGGAGCCCATATGAGCATAATCTATGAGCTTAGAAACGCCCAAACGTTCAACCCATGTTGGACCATTCAAAAGTCGACCTCGAAAATATGGAGGAACGGGTGGCCATGAATAATTTGTCAATTTGTAAACATTGCCTGTATCTGTGTTTGAGTCACCAAAGCTTACCACTGTAGTAAAAGGAATTTTCTGAGTATATATCTGATGAATTTGCAACATAAAAATTAGAAGAATCATAGCGATATGTAAAATAGAATTACACATGTTTTTTTCATGTACACATGATGTGCATCTATGAATTGGAAGATAAAACATCATCTAAAATAATGATGAGACGGATAAGAAAACGAAGAGAAAAGAAAGAACAATGATCAACTATCTATCGCCAAAGAGTCGAAACGGTCAAGAAAGAAAGTGAACGCCGAAACAAAGAAAGGTGCAAGAGTAAGAAATGACAGATGTGTATGTACATGCACGGCGGACATGTACATATAAGAATATAGAGAAGATAGTGATGGATGAAATCCGTCACACATTGATCTTGTTATTACGCGCAAAATGTCAAAAATGAAAATGCCAAAAGCAAAATATCAAGAGCATGTTGAGGGTGTTAGTGTGCATGAGAGAGGTAGATATTTGCTTCTCTTCATCTACATCCACACCCTCTCTGATTTCACAATAGATAAAAAACAATAAATATTATTCAATGAAAAAGAACATGTGAAGCTTTCTGCGTAGTTTCTAATAATTCTATCTTTTAATAGACACAGAAGTTGCTTTTCAAGAAGATGATATGTAGAAATGAATCATATGAATGTAAAGAAGCAATTTATTAAACATAGAATAGAACAGTTCAAATGATAAATTAAGTTTTTAAATAAAAACAATCTAATCATGAAATTAATTTAAAAATTTTATCTATCTTAAATTGATTTCTTTTCAATAAGAATTAATTATTATAAACCGTTTTTTATTAATAGAATATTCGATATATGGAAAATAACTTACCAGTTATTAACAAAAAGATATTCTTTATATTGAGAATTTAAATATCATTCTTCTATTAACTGTCATCGAACAATATTGTATTTATTTTTCCATAAAATATATTAAATAATCTATTTACTTCAATAAAATACAATATATTATATTAACATCAGTATCGTAATGAAATCTGTGTCAATCTTTGATTATTTGAAGTGAATATAAGTAAAAGTATGTTTAGAGATCAATATGATATTTTCGACTACACTTTTGAAAAACAAAACTTTCAAGTCAATTGACAGGTTTTTTTGATACAGTCAAAATTAATCATGACTCCTTAATATTATTCTGACAAAATTCATGTCATATACATGTAAGCTATGTAAAAAAAACAATCGATGAATAAAAAAAATTTAATCATGAACTCATTTATTCTTAATAGATTTTTTCAAATTGATATGTTATGATAATTTATAACTTTTCACAGTCCAATCTCTGTTTGTCCATATACAAATTGCTAAATTTCGTCTATCATTAGATAATATACCATACCAGTATTTTAAAAGCCCACGCACCACTATTATTTGCTTTAAAATGGGATTGCTTATCTTGAGAAGGAAGTTCAAAGAAAACTTCCGAATTAATTGGTGAGAGCGCAAGTTGTAAACGAAATACAACAACGTAAAAAACTGTATTTGGAAAAGTTAGTGGTAATTTTGAGAAAATAGTCGACCAGTTAAATGTTCGTTGATATAGTAAATCTGAATATCCTTCATTTGGTTGTAATTCTTGAAGAAAAATAGCGATTTGTTGAGATGAATTATTTAATGTTGTGAAATCAAGAAGATGATCAGAATAAGGTGAAGGAATAAGAAATCTTTTTTCTTCATATTCATTCATAGATGGTTTGATCGAGTAAAATCTAATAGTATCAGACACTTCTCATTGTCGATAGATGACTTCTTAGATATGGGAATATATACATCACATTACGACAATTTGTTTAAAATTGACAAAATTATATTTTTTCTTCTCTTAGAAAAAGGATTTTTTTCGATCATAATACATTAATGAAGCAAAGCTTTAAAAAGCTTCTCTTTACATACAAGATTATTTAATATTAATATATATAAAAGAATATTTATTTGTCTATTCGTTATTCATGCAGTCTTTATGGGTGTGGGTGGGTGCAGGACTTGAGCGAATACAATACTATAAAAATATATATTTTAGCTTACATAGATCAATCCAAGAAATTTTCGAATTTTCATTTATTAGCATACTATTGAGCTAAATAACATAATGTTTACATCTTTTTATCATTGATAAATACATCGTCCTGTTAGTCTCATTTGATTAGTTAAATTTATCATCATAACTTATTTTCATATATTTAATTTGTTTACATGCATTATTGCAACTAATAAAATATAAAATCATTCGAATAAATATGTATATATATATTCCAAAGATATTTAAAATTACGCTAACTAGCATTCGTCTCTTTCGTTTTTATCGCAATTGGATATGAATAAGAGCATTTGAAAAGTGATTATATATGTAAAGTAGAGATAATAAATATTTTATTTTTATTTCAATTTAGTAAATAACCCACCACCATATATATGTAATTATATATCATAAAAGATTAATCAAAACAAGAGAAAAAAAATCAAAGAAAATAAGAGCGAGATTAAAGATGAAACTATTGTATTATACAATTCGTAACATTAGCAAGTTTCTAGAAGAATTTTTAAATTATCAGTACCTTCGTTCACAACAGCAAAATCCAATTGTTTATCATTGTTCAAATCGGCAACAGCTAAAGATATTGGTGATGATCCAAAACCGAGTGTAAAAGCGGATACACCTACGAATGTGCTATTACCATATCCAAGAAACACATAGACATTGCTCAGACCATAATTAATGACGACGATATCCAGAAAAATGTCTTTGTTAAAATAACCAACAGCTACTGTATATGGTTCAGATTCAAAGCCAGTTGTAAATGTTGTTTGATTTGAAAAAGAACCATTTTCATATCCGAAAAGTACACTAATACTATCACTACCACTATTAGCGACAACAATATCTAGTATAGTATCATTATTAAAATCACCACTAGCTATAGATCGTGGAGAAGAACCAGTTGCATATGTAGTCTGAAGAGCAAAAGAACCATTTCCATAGCCAAAAAATATACCCACATTATTCGTGCCAGAATTTGTGACAGCAATATCGAGTCGATTATCTTTGTTAAAATCTCCAATGGCAAATGATTTTGGTCGAGAACCATTACCAGTTATGAGTGTTATTTGTTTAACAAAAGCAATGTTTACATAACCAAGAAGTATACCAATACGACTGTCTCGATAATTAGCAACGGTGATATCCAGTCGTTTATCACTATTGAAATCAGCAAGGGCTATAAAGTATGGCATAAATCCAGTTGAATATGTTGTCGCCTTTGCAAAAGCACCATTCCCTAGTCCAAGAAGTACACTAGCAGTGTTGTCACCTGTATTAGCAACGACAATATCTAGTTGACTATCATTATTCACATCACCAACAGCCAGGGCTTGTGGTGAGTTGCCAACTGTAAATGTTGTCTGATTTGCAAACGTACCATTGCCATATCCGAAAAGTAGACCTACATTGTTGTTACCATTATTTGCAACGACAATGTCCAGTCGAGTATCGTTATTAAAATCACCAATAGCTACAAAAAATGGAGTAGCTCCCGTTGGATATGTTACTTGATCTGAAAAAGATCCATTACCATACCCAAAAAGTACACTTATAGTTGCATCACCATTATTAGCAACGACGATATCTAGTTGAGTGTCATTATTAAAATCACTAGCAGCTATAGCAGTTGGTAATGATCCAGTTGCATATGTTACTTGAGCTGCAAAAGAACCATTGCCATACCCGAGAAGTACACTTGAAGTATTATCATTAAAATTAGCAACTACGATATCCAATTGTTTGTCATTGTTGAAATCATCAACAACTATAGATACTGGATTAGCACCAGTAGGGTACGTTATTTGATCTTGAAAAGAACCATTACCATACCCAAGATACACACTTACATTCATGTTATACTGATTAGCAACGATAATATCGAGTTGATTATCATTGTTAAAATCTCCAAC